ACAGCAGGGCAGGTCTCAAAGTGAGTCCCCAGAGTTAGGGTGTAGTAGGATTTTTTTTTATCTGACGGATTAGGGACTATAGATTCACAAACTCTTTGATGGTTTCTTTCAAAACTTTTCTTTATTCTTCTTTTGTACTCTCTGATTCTATTTTCTATTTTCTCTTTTCTTCTTTCTATCCAGAAGCGACACCTTCTGTCTCTCTTGATGTTTTCCCTCTAACAGATGTTTTCCCTCTAACAGATGTTTTCCCTGTTTTTATTCTTCCTTATTCTCTCATTCTTGATGTTTTCCTTCTAAGTCTACCTTTATTCTTGATGTTTTTCTTCTAACTCATTTTAGCTCTATCTTTATTCTTTCCCTTACAGGTTACATATATCAACAAAATAATTCAGGCAGTATAAAAATTATAGTGTGGTTACATTCTGTTTATTAAGTGCATGATTACAATGAATACAAGTAAAAAAAAATCTAACCTGTTTTCCATAGCCTTTACATGATTGAACATCTTACATAATACAGGTGAAAACAAATTTTCTCCAGAATATACATACATTTGAATTGATACAACTTGTAAATTAACAAAATGTAAGCAAGCAAGATATTCTTTTATTGTCAGGCTGGGTTTTGCAGTTACAAATAAAAAACCAATCACTTTCTTGCTTATCCCAAATGTAATCTCATAAGAAATTCTAAAGGAATTACAATAAAAACTTCTATATTTAAAAAAAAAGAATCAGTCCACTCCTTTTAAATCTTTAGGGTACATTTCCATTTATCAATATTTTTATATCATGAGATTGAAAGCAGAAATAAGTGCAAGGAAGTAATCTTTGCCTTTGATACCAACTCATCCTAGCAAGAAAAGCATGTCAGCTAATAATGCTACTTTGTTCTTGTTTCCTGACCTTAATGAATTTTTCATTCAACTATGTGCCTTTCTAAAATTTTAAATTTTCTTCTTGGGTTTTCCACCTTAAAGCTATTGGACAAAATCATATTGATCAAACTTTAAGTTATTTTCAACGCTTTGTTTCAGCTATGATGCACTCTGAAGCATGTGAATGCATCTCCCAACTTTATAATTAACAGATTTTAGGCAAGCTGGGTTACTGAGACTTAATGAATTTTCTTAATCATTAACCATGACTCCTCATAGGAACTCATTTGTTTTAGCTGTGTTATATTTCCTTGTTTTACTTTTTAATCATCAAAACTCTACTTAAACTAACATTATTATGATCAATTAGACAGTACAGTTTAGGAAGAAATCATCTTGATAATCCATATGAAAAATGTCCACTCACAGGCATAGGGATCTCCCCGCACCCACTCACACCATGCCACATACCAGAGAAAGATGGCAGCAGCAAACATGTAAAGGCACAGCAGAAGCAAAAGACATTCTGGAGTCTGTAGACAAGGGGCCTTGCCTATCAGAGATTTGTGGGGCCCATGGCAGTCTGACCACTCATAATGCGCCCAGGCAATATGGGTCCAGGGAAGCCTGGCCACACATGGGACCCAGGCCTCCCAGCAGGAACAGATCATCCAAAGGAAATTCCTAACATCCCAACCATTGTAGATAGGATCACTTGCCAGCACACACCCATTACTTTCACTTAGGACACCCTTAGACAAAAGTCAGCCAATCAGGGGTCCCTGATGTGGGAGTGATTTCTTACTAATAAAGAAACTGCTTAGGCCCATTTGATAGGCCAACCCTTAGGTAGGCGGAGAAAGCAGAACAGGATGCTGGGAGAAAGAAGCTGAGTGAAGAGTCGCCATGATTCTCCCGCTCCAGACAGATGCAGGTTAAGATCCTCCCTGGTAAGCCAGCTCGTGGGCTACACAGAATATTAGAAGTGGGTTAGAACAATATGTAAGAGCTAGCCAATAAGAAGCTGGAACTAGCCGGGCCAGGCAGTGTTTGAAAGAATACAGTTTCCGTGTAATTATTTCGGGCATAAGCTAGCCATGCGGGTGGCCGGGTGCCGGGGACGCAGCCCTGCTGCCGCTCATAATTTCAACAGGTCCCGAGGATTGGAAAATCCTCACACCTACCTTTGCTATTATAAAAACCCAACCCCAACTGAGCTCACTGCTCTCCAATCACTCCAATACGGTAGAGACATGGAGAGCCTGAGTTTGCAAACTTGCATAAGAATAAAGGTTCTTTGCTTTGACATACAGGACTTGGTCTCCTAGTTGGATTTGGTGGACTTCGTGATCTGGGCATAACAAATTCACCCATCAGGGATTCGCCTCCTAGTGGGCTGAGACCCTGAGGTCAAATGCCGTCTGCTGCTCCTCTGACATGGACATGGCCACAGACAGGTACAACAGTAGCTCTTATATCTTTGGGGAAACTAATATATACCTCATTGAATTCAAAGTTGCTCAGTAGCAATGAATTCCAGCCTGATACTATAAACCTAGTTAACTACTCATGGTAGGAGAGGTCATAGACCCTAGAGAAAAACTCACTACAGCAGCCACTTTCATAAATCAATGTAGCTTCTAACTGTATTCTAAGTACTTATGATTATAAACTGCTGGAGATGAACTATAGTCAACCCCAGTCTCCAGTCAGAGAAACTAGAGCGTGGATATGGACTCAGAAGCTAAACACACACACAGAAGGCTTACCTGAGGGAGCAAAACTTAATTTTCCTGTCTTTGTTTTTCTCTTAGTCATTCTGTACCGCCTAAGAAAAAATCTCTATGCAAAAAATTAATTACCTCATAAATGAAAATTATGTATTTTTCACATCATATTAAAATCCTTACCTGGGAAGAAATCACAATATGACCAAAAGTTACATGCTTTTTTAGAAGTCCATGTGTAATTAAACATTTTCATTTCTATTAATTTTCCAGCCATAACATCTTCACACTCAAGCAATGCTTCTTTTGTTATTGATTAACTAAGTTTTAAGCAAGTCAAGTATATTTCAGCCAGTCCCTTTGTGCTGGCAGGCAGCCATTTGTGGTTACAGTGTAGCAGCTTTTTATCCTCATTTTAGTCCACAGAACCTTAGTCAAGTGGTCTAGCAAACCATCTGTATTACATACAATAGGATCATTTAATTTTCTTTCACAACTCTGTTTTCTCAAAGTGCACACTAAAACTTGAGATTGATTCTGTAAGCTACATGACCAAGGAACTCAGACCAAACCATGGATGTAGATACATCACTGTCTTCTTTAATCATCAGACTGTTTATCCATAGTGAGAACTAACTTGTCTATAATGCATGAGACCTCCTTGTTTTAATTTCCCATCTTAAGCCAGTCTCACATCTCTAAGCTTCATTGCTCTATGAAAGTCGTTTTCATTAAGATCTGCAAATAAGGAGAGGGATTTCCCATAAAACCATCACAATTTACAGGACACAGTGGAATTTTCCCACTCAACAATCATACCATGCCAAATTCAGTAAGTAGACGATAGCAGCAAGCAGGAGAAAGGCCAGGAGAAGTAAGGGACAAGATGCATACAACCCCTCGTAAGTTGGGGGGGGCGGCTTTTTCTCTCCAGAGTACACTCTTCCTAGCTGTACTTACTGGTGAGCTATACTCCATCAACTTCACTGTCAACTGCAGCTCGTCCAACATGGCCACTGCCAATATACACAGGTAAGTATAGTTCTAAACCCTGATAAAAGCAGTTTCATTTTAAAGCAGAGAGTCACTACTACAGTCATAGACAACTTGTCAAAAAGCAGATAGTAAATACTGTGGAGTCTCTAGTTCCAGTTAATACATCTACAATGCAATTCCCACACCTAATGCCACAGAACATCACAGAAATGGAGCAGAAGGAACTGCAAGAACCAGAGAACCAGGACACCAGCTGAGAGGAGGACATGAGGGAGAAAACTTATTCATTGCCAGTGTGAATGCAAATGGACACAAACAATATGGAAATCAGTATGGAGGTTCCTCTGCAGCTGACCATGGATCTACCACAAGATCTAGCTGTACCAGTCCTGAGCAATTAACTAAAAGATTCTGTATCTTTCCCCAGAGACACTTGCTCTTCCAAGTGCATTGCTGTTCTATTCACAATCACTGGGAATTGGAAACAGTCTAGATGTGCATCAACTGATGAGTGAATTGTGAAAATGTGGCACAGTTACACAGTGGGCCATGGTTTAGCTAATAAGAGAAATGAAATTATAAGAACTTCAGGTAATTTGGTGGAACTGGAGTCACCTGAGCAAGGTAACCCAGACAGGAAAAGAAGCTGAGTATTACTCTAGTTTTAAATATGTTTGTTTCATTTGTAAAATCCACAGATGTTTGTTATCAATAAGAGGCTGTGGGGAAGGAGAGGATCTTCAAGGGAAGGAGAAAGAGAAAACAAAACTTCCATTAAAGGACAAATAAGAGGGCAGGACAGAGGGAGTTGTGTCAGGGAGGGATAACTAACCCTAAAGACCTACAAGGAGCCAGTGTTATCTGGACACAGCAGGGCAGCTGCGCACATGAATTCACAGTTTACAACACATAAGATTTTCAAAGGATCAGGGAAGACACAATCCCAAAAAGCAGAGAGAAGGTTGGCATTCCCACACTTAGATAAGGAGTTATGGGCATTTGGTAGCTGCTGGGAGCAAGAATTAGATTGCTTTGTTGATGCAGCCCCAAGGGCATAGACTGCTCTCCACTGAAGGCCACACATCCAAGAGTATATGCACAGGACCAACTGTAATGGAACCTTGATGGATTTTTATTTTATGTCAGGGGCAGGGGACACAAAACTGTGTTGGAAAGGAAGAGTGGCTGGATCTTGCAGGAGTGGAAGGAGCAGGTTAGTATAATAAAAATTCAATACCACAGGATACCAGTTCAGTAACACTGGTGGTTTCAGCCACCTACTCTTGAGACCTGCCTCCTTGGAGTGAGGTTACAAATTGTGCACAAAATAAGGTAGTTTGAAGAAACCAGAGGAGGGCGCTGCCTCTTCATATGTGGTTAACATCTCATCTAGATGGTGGCTTCATGTGACAGACTGTCACTGTGAGAAAGGAGTTCCTGTTTATGAGTTTCAATAAAGTCCTGAGAAGACTTGCCCTGTAAGTTTGGTGAACTCAAGAACCAAGTGTCATTGACTTCTACAGTCATGCTTCCTGACAGCTGTTCAGTTCTTCTGTTCCTCTTGATGTTCAGTAAGTTACAATTACCTTAAGTGGTGGTGATGTCATTTTCTTACACTTATGAAAGTCTTTACCCTTGATCTCAGTAGCAATGTTATTCCTTTTTATTTATTTATTTACTTACTTACTTATTTATTTGCTCATTCACTCACTCGTTCATTTATTTATTTTCAGGGATGAGCAATGGAGACTCAGTGACCCAGACAGAAGGCCTGGTTACTGTCACAGAGGGGTCACCTGTGATGCTGAACTGTACCTATCAGACTACTGATTCAGCCCCTTATGTTTTCTGGTATGTGCAATATATCAACAAAGCCCCTCAACTACTCCTGAAGGGATTCACAGACAAGAAGAGGACAGAATACCAAGGGTTCCACGCCACTCTCCATAAGAGCAACAGCTCCTTCCACCTGCAGAAGTCCTCGGTGCAGCTGTCAGACTCTGCCCTGTACTACTGTGCTCTGAGTGACACAGTGAGGGAGACTGCAGGGGAAGCTGCACACAAACCAAGGGTACAGGAGGGCTGAGGGGGTGGACCTGTGAGGGAGAGCTGAGTATGTCTCTAAGTGGGGTTTGCTCAGCCTCCAGAAGAACAGCAACAAATTTCAGATCAAAGTCCCAGAAACCTAGGAATATGTGGATTTTTTCTGACAAAACAGGATGGAAGTCATTGCTGGAAACAACCCACACTTTTATCCCCTGAAATACTCTTTTCTCCAAAAATTAGAGGACCTCTTACAGAAAACATCTTCAGAACAACCCTGCCATAGAACTTATCTATACCAAGATGTCTTACAAAATTTAGTGACTTAAATTACCCAGCATCTTCTGGTATTACCTCACAAATTTGTGATCCAAAAGAGTAACATATACTCTAGTCTTTAAAAATAACCTTCAGTTTCACTTCACATGTAGGTCAGATTCTTCTTATCATTTGTCCATGTTACAGAGAGTTCAGGTGGACTTCTGATCTCAGCTGCTATTCTATCGCTGTGAAGAGAAACCATGACCAAGAGAACTTATAAAAGAAAGCATTTAATTGGAGTGTGTCCATTACCATCATTGTGGGGAGCAGAGCAGCAGACCAGCAAGCCTGTCCCTGGAGAAGTAACTGAGGTCTTATACCTAATCACAAAGAAGGGCAGAGGGATAGCCTGGGGCTAGCTTTTTGACTTTGAGATTCCAAAGACCACCAGTAATGACACACCTTTTCTGACAAGGTCACACATCCTGACCTTCCTATACAATCCACAAACTGCAACCAAATATTCAGTTATGTGAGTCTATGGGGATCATTCTCATTCAAGTCACCACACTCCCCAACAGCTTCCATTCAGTGGCTGCTCAGGAAATAGAGCTGATAGAACTCTGAAGATGCTGCCATGAGAGACAGCTCCTCCCCTTTCCTACACACTGTATATGAAATAGGCTAATCATGAAAGGCTCTGTCCAGAAAGCTCTTAATGTCCACTCTCATAGGCCACTTCACTGGTTTAAATCCTAAGGACATGGTATCATCACTCATCTGGGATTAGAGTTAGGTTCTTTGATAATTCTTCTGCAATGTTGGAAAGGAAGCCAAGATTTTGATCTTTCACAATTCTGGAAACAAATTATTGGTTTGATGTCAAATTTCTAGTACTCATATTTATCTCTCTGTAAAGGAAGAAAGATCTTAAATCAAAGAACATGGTGTCTCTCAAGAAAGATTCATGTTTGTGTTCATAGAGAACAGTAAAGTAGTATATGTTATCTTACCGATTAGGAAGCAAAACTGAATGTCAAACAGAATTTTTAAATCCCAATCACTACTTAAATAGCACAGCATAGAACTGAATTTCTCAGAAGAGTGCTTGTCAAACCTAGAATGAATGCCAAATCTAATTAAAAAAAAAATCCAGGTATGGGAAACCTCCCTTCAAGTTGTTAGTTATGGACTTAAGAGACTCCTCCAAATAAACCAGGCTAATGTCATTGCCCTTTATTGCCCTCATAGAATTTGAAGGTAAGACCCTATTTCTAATGACACCACATGCTTTAGATATAGAACATGAAGGAACTCTGAACTGACCTGAAGATTCTTCCCTGAGCAGGACTTCTCACAGTATATGAAGGTACCATGTAAGAATCCAGGGGAGAAAAGCAATAAATAATCCTACTAAGTTGTGTAAAGAGTATGAACCAAAACAAGGAACATCATGACAAGATATCCACAAGGGTGCATATTACTGTCTGGGAGAGCAGCTTACAGCAGGGCAGGTCTCAACGTGAATCCCCATAATTAGGGTGTAGTATGACTTTTATATCTGAGGGGTTAGGGACTATAGATTCACACACTCTTTAATGGTTTCTTTCAGAACTTTTTATTCTTCTTTTGTACTCTCTGATTCTATTTTCTATTTTCTCTTTTCTTCTTTCTATCCAGAAGCGACACCTTCTGTCTCTCTTGCTCTTTTCCCTCTAACAGATGTTTTCCCTCTAACAGATGTTTTCCCTGTTTTTATTCTTCCTTATTCTCTCATTCTTGATGTTTTCCTTCTAACTCTACTTTTATTCTTGATGTTTTTCTTCTTATTCATTTTAGCTCTATCTTTATTCTTTCCCTCACAGGTTATATATATCAACAAAATAATTTAGGCAGTATAAAAATTACAGTGTGGTTACATTCTGTTTATTAAGTGAATGATTACAAACCATTATAGATAGGATCTATCTATAGATCACACATTCATTACTTTCACCAGGACACCCTTAGACAAATGTCAGCCAATCAGGAGTCCTGAGGATTGGAAATTCCTCACACCTACCTTTGCTATTATAAAAACCCAACCCCAACTGAGCTCGGGGTTCTTTAATCACTCCAATACACTAGAGACATGGAGAGTCCGAGTTTGCAAACTTGCATAAGAATAAAGGTTCTTTGCTTTGACATACAGGACTTGGTCTCCTAGTTGGATTTGGTGGACTTCGTGATCTGGGCATAACAAATTCACCCATTAGGGATTCGCCTCCTAGTGGGCTGAGACCCTGAGGTCTAATGCCGTCTGCTGCTCCTCTGACATGGACATGGCCACAGACAGGTACAACAGTAGCTCTTATATCTTTGGGGAAACTAATATATACCTCATTGAATTCAAAGTTGCTCAGTAGCAATGAATTCCAGCCTGATACTATAAACCTAGTTAACTACTCATGGTAGGAGAGGTCATAGACCCTAGAGAAAAACTCACTACAGCAGCCACTTTCATAAATCAATGTAGCTTCTAACTGTATTCTAAGTACTTATGATTATAAACTGCTGGAGATGAACTATAGTCAACCCCAGTCTCCAGTCAGAGAAACTAGAGCGTGGATATGGACTCAGAAGCTAAACACACACACAGAAGGCTTACCTGAGGGAGCAAAACTTAATTTTCCTGTCTTTGTTTTTCTCTTAGTCATTCTGTACCGCCTAAGAAAAAATCTCTATGCAAAAAATTAATTACCTCATAAATGAAAATTATGTATTTTTCACATCATATTAAAATCCTTACCTGGGAAGAAATCACAATATGACCAAAAGTTACATGCTTTTTTAGAAGTCCATGTGTAATTAAACATTTTCATTTCTATTAATTTTCCAGCCATAACATCTTCACACTCAAGCAATGCTTCTTTTGTTATTGATTAACTAAGTTTTAAGCAAGTCAAGTATATTTCAGCCAGTCCCTTTGTGCTGGCAGGCAGCCATTTGTGGTTACAGTGTAGCAGCTTTTTATCCTCATTTTAGTCCACAGAACCTTAGTCAAGTGGTCTAGCAAACCATCTGTATTACACACAGTAGGGTATTTTAATTTTCTTTCACAACTCTGTTTTCTCAAAGTGCACACTAAAACCTGAGATTGATTCTGTAAGCTACATGACCAAGGAACTCAGACATAACCTTGGATGTAGAGACATAGCTATCTTCTTTAATCATCAGACTGTTTATCCATAGTGAGAACTAACTTGTGTATAATGCCTGAGACCTCCTTGTTTTAATTTCCCATCTTAAGCCAGTCTCACATCTCTAAGTTTCATTGCTCTATGAAAATCTTTTTCATTATGATCTGCAAATAAGGAGAGGGATTTTCCCATAAAACAATCACACTGTACAGGATACAGTGGAATTCTCCCACTCAACAATCATACCATGCCAAATTCAGTAAGTAGACGATAGCAGCAAGCAGGAGAAAGGCCAGGAGAAGTAAGGGACAAGATGCATACAACCCCTCGTAAGTTGGGGGGGGCGGCTTTTTCTCTCCAGAGTACACTCTTCCTAGCTGTACTTACTGGTGAGCAATACTCCATCAACTTCACTGTCAACTGCAGCTCGTCCAACATGGCCACTGCCAATATACACAGGTAAGTATAGTTCTAAACCCTGATAAAAGCAGTTTCATTTTAAAGCAGAGAGTCACTACTACAGTCATAGACAACTTGTCAAAAAGCAGATAGTAAATACTGTGGAGTCTCTAGTTCCAGTTAATACATCTACAATGCAATTCCCACACCTAATGCCACAGAACATCACAGAAATGGAGCAGAAGGAACTGCAAGAACCAGAGAACCAGGACACCAGCTGAGAGGAGGACATGAGGGAGAAAACTTATTCATTGCCAGTGTGAATGCAAATGGACACAAACAATATGGAAATCAGTATGGAGGTTCCTCTGCAGCTGACCATGGATCTACCACAAGATCTAGCTGTACCAGTCCTGAGCAATTAACTAAAAGATTCTGTATCTTTCCACAGAGACACTTGCTCTTCCAAGTGCATTGCTGCTCTAGTCACAATCACTGGGAATTGGAAACAGTCTAGATGTGCATCAACTGATGAGTGAATTGTGAAAATGTGGCACATTTACACAGTGGGCCATGCTTAACTAATAAGAGAAATGAAATTATAAGAACTTCAGGTAATTTGGTGGAACAGTCACCTGAGCAAGGTAACCCAGACAGGAAAAGAAGCTGAGTATTACTCTAGCTTTAAATATTTTTGTTTCACTTGGAAAATCCACAGGTGTTGGGTATCAATAAGAGGCTGTGGGGAAGGAGGGGATCTTCAAGAGAAGGAGAAACAGAAAAAATAAACTTTCATAAAAGGACAAATAAGAGGGCAGGATAGAGGGAGGATTGTCAGGGAAGGATAACTAACCCTAAAATCCTTCTGAACAAAACAGTATAAGAAACCTGTTATAGAAACTTCCTGAAACATATACTCAAACTAAAGTGGAGCCTAGCAATAACCTATGAGTATAAACACACATATAGAAGGCACTTTGTCAATTATTTTCATAACAAAAACTCTATGATGCATTCCTCCACTGCTAAGAGTGTACAGTGCATTGCCCCAAGTAGTCACACCAGCACTGCTGGCCCTGTCACTCTGGAACGCAGCACTCCTATCTTGGTTTCCACCAATCCACTTCCTCCTTATGCGGTCATATTTTAAACATTTAGAACAAACCTTGACTATAGCAGGAATGTTCCAGTTTTCAAAATGCATCCCAAAACTATGAATCCATTCCATGTATACTTTATCATTATGTTCCTGATTCTTCTTCTCCTGCAGAGATGTCACTTCAATTATTTCACAGGGGAAGATTCTTTTTCTCTCTCTTTTTT